CCAACTATATTTAGTGGTTCCCATAACTGTGATTTATGAAAATTCTTTTTATTTATTCATCTTATACACATACGTTTTAGACCACCGCAAAAACCAATGACACTTTCAAACAAAATTTGGAAAGATGGAGGAAGAACAATTGAAGCAACAACAATGCCAATATGGTATGTGCGACTCTTCGAAAATTGTGACCCTATGGTGACTTTTTGAGAAAAATATTAATTGTGAAGGACTATAATTAATCTCATTTTTTTTTATATAAAGTGACGTAATTATAATTTTTTTTTGTTGTTTTTAATTACACCCAACACATCAATTTTTGGTCATTTGTGTTTAGCAAAGTTCTAGGAATTAAATATGATTTTTAAAATCTACTTTTTATCCTTTACTCTATCCGGTTGGAAGGAACAAGATATTAGTTTCACTTTAAGTGTCCGCTCTCATATTTATTCCTGGTTCCGCCCTCAAGACCATGCAAAACTTCAATTAGCAGCAAAGCAAACATTGAGACAGATTTGGCAGTATTTCAATTTAGAGAGGAGGATTTGCTATTAAATGGCAGAGATACATACAGTTAGGCTCCGCAGTATTGAACCCAAGAAGCATAATACCCAAACAATACACATAGGTCTGTTTAACGAATCCATCGGGTTGGGCTCGTTTATTTTTCGTTTGTTCAAACTCGTTTATATTCTAGAACGAGCTTATACAAGCCGAGCTTTAGTGTTAGCTTGGCTCGAACTAAAAAACGAGACTGTACAAATCGATTCCATACCATTTTTCCCTGGGGCAAGCTTGAACAAAATTCAAGCTTGTTATACAAGCCCGAGTAGAGATCACATTGTTGAACTATAGCATAACCACAAAAACAGGGCATAACAAAAAATACAACACGATAAATGTGCGTTATGTCCAGCGATTATGCTCCTTTTGATAGGAAGGGTGAAAAGTAGAAATAATACATTTTTTTTCATTTGTGTTTAGTTAAATGAATGAAAAATAATAATAATTAATTTTTTTTAATTTTTTTTTTGTACTGGCTAATATTAGGGGTGACAATCGAGTCGTGTCGTGTCAGATTCGTGTTAAGTCATAAAATTATGAGTTTTTTATATTTTTTATTCGCGTGTCAGGTTATTTTCTAGATCGCGTCGAGTTATAATAAAGTTTGTGTCAAGTTTGAATCATATCATCATGTTGAGTAAAAAATTTTCACACATAGTTAAGATAAATTTTTTTTATTATTTTAAAAAAAATATATATATACATATTTTATCATTATATTTTTATATGAAATTAATGTATACATAATACATAGACAAATAATATACATCTCAACACAAATAATTAACTTTTCATCCACTTCTCTTCCGATTTTGAAGGGATTGATTTTAGTGAGTTGGAAGAAATATTAATTCATCTACTTTTTCGTCTTTCCTATTTTTTTTCCTTATCAAACATGATATTTTATTTATTCTCAAACTTTCAATCCTTTTCTTTTCATTCTTCCATTTTTTTATCATACTAAACGGTGCACTAATGTCAGTTTCATAATGAGAAGATCAATACATAATTCAATAGGTAGGATTGTGCAACTTCCAATGGGTCAATAACAGGTAGCCATCAACAACGGTTAATTATGAAGAAATTGTTGAAGATAACATCACGTGGTATGATGAGATCAACAAAATAAATTTCAGGTTATTATTTTTCTTTTACGGTCTTGTTTATCTCAATGTAATTGTATCTTCACCCTAAAAATAGGGTATAGCCCATTTGTCCTAAGCACTAAGAATTGATGAGAACATGTAGCAAGCCTATTAGACTTTGGTTCGGGAATGTAGGTCTTCTGATCAAACCACTTACATTCTCGTGTTCGTTCTTGATCAATTTCAAAATGGTCTTTTCCTGAACATTGGCTTGATCAAATTAGCAGCAAGAGAAGTGCAGTGCCACTATAAAACATAAAAAGAGTGAAGCATTGAGCTTGCCAGGTGAATCTCAATCTGTGTCCCTGGTGTGGTGAGTGTGTTAGAAGTACCAAGCCATGAGGAGTACATGTGTGTGAATTCCATTGGCATATAGAAGTGTCTATGTATGCCCTGAACAAACATTCATTTGAGCAGGTACATAGGAACCTTGTAGTTCAATTATTCAATTGAACTGAAATGTTGGTCGGCCGGGAGGAAAAATGAAACAAGTCCTTGGCTGGTGGAAAAAAAAATTTGGGGGAAAAAGAACACTAAATTCATGCATTGTATTGCAACTTAGAACATGGGTTCAAGATGGCATTATTGGTCATCAACTCGATGGTACTAAAATGCATATGAGACTCATGGTTTATCTGGAATCTGAAACTACAATAATGTTTTGATGTGTCATATAAGTATAGGCCGATATTTTGAGCTGTGGCTTAGGCAAAAACTGAAATGAATGATAGTGTATTGATGCCTGGTTATAAGCAATCACACTCGTCTTCTATAGGTGTTCTAATGGATGTTAATTGCTTACAATAGTTTTGTAGGTAATACGCTAGATCCTTCAGTGGTAATTCTTTGTTTGTCCTAAAACATAACTGGGTATTTTGTTCTCTAAATAATTATAGCGCTTATAATTAACTTGCACAACATAATGTTCTTAATAACCATATATAGTAAGAAGATGAAAAAAAAGAAAAAAAAATGTATAAGTTCATCAAAACAGTGAAAATTTAGTTTTCAACTGAAAGGTGTAGCCAAAGCAAATACCTAGTAATTATATAAACAAAACTACTATAAAATTTCGATGAAATATCTGCATAAACATTGTAAACCTAAAGAGGACATGTTGAACAAGAACTATAGAAACGATAATAGGTATAAATGGATATCAATTTTTCATTAATCTGTCGGATCAATTTCTGATGTGCTGAAAAACTTATCTCCCACCATTTACTGGCACAATTATATGATCCCTCAAACTATCATACCCTGCGTTAATCATGGTAGTAGTACCACCAGTATATCCATAGACATGTAATGTCTTGCCAAGCAAGGACTCGGTCTCTGCTGAATGCAATTCAGCTTTAAACCATGTATGCTTTGTCATCAGTCTCAATCCCTCTAGTTCCATTGCTACTTCCTTCATGGTTGGTCGATCCTTCCCTTTTATATTTAAACACCTTTTTGCTAGCATAGCAACTTCATTGAGCTGCTGAGTATTTCCTTCGTGTACTGAACGATCCTCAAGAACCTGGGACAAGCGATCCTCCTTCAATGAAGATAGCCAACTTTCTCTCCTTCTCTGGAATGTCAAAAGATAGTGGCTTCCTTCTTGATAGCAGCTCTATGAGGACTACTCCGAGGCTGTAAACATCACTTTTCTCTGTTTATTGGTTTGTTTGCATGTATTCAGGGACCAAATATCCAAGAGGTCGTTGAACCATTATAAATACCCGTGTATGATCCAGAGGAACCAACCTTGAGGCACCAAAGTCGGACACTTTTGCGACATAATTACCGTCTAAGAGTATGTTTGTAGACTTGATATCCCTATGGATGATAGGGATAGAAGCTGCAGAGTGCAAATATGAGTGCACTCTCGCAGTTTTTGCAGCTATCTTTAAACGGGTGTCCCAAGAAAGAGTAGACTCATCAACTTTATTGTGTATGTGCTCAAAGAGGGTGCCATTGTTAATGAATTCATAAACCAGTACAGGGACTTGTGTCTCCAAACAACAACCCAACAACTTGACCACATTCCTGTTATTGATTTTGGAGAGAACTACCACCTCATTAATGAATTGTTCAATTTGGGTTTGATCCACCATTTTTGACTTTTTGATGGCAACTACCCTTTTATTGGTTAAGTATCCTTTGCAAACTGTGCCATAACCTCCTTGCCCGATGATTCTACTTTCATTGTAGTTGTTGGTTGCTTTCTCAAGTTCATCGAAGGTAAAAAATTTTACTGTATCAGTTGATCCTTCTTGTCTAGAGAGTCGCTGTTGTAATATAAAACTACCATTTTGCCGAAAGAACTTTTCTTTGAGCTTCATTAAGTTTCTTTTTTGGATTCCGAAGTACAACCAAGAGCCACATATGAGCAGCAGTGTAACGCCAATAGAAACACCTGTAATTGCATTTAAAGAACAACATAAAAGAAAGATGGTGAATTAAATTTTTCTTTCTGTTGAACAAATGAAAATAAGTTTCAACATTATTTCAGAATCCATTTGTTGAGACAACATTATTCAATGTTCTACTTGTTCAAAGATGAACATGTAAGAGAATTCAAAACAAAATCAATGCAACAAGGATAGCAACAATTGATGGTGGGCGATCAATCTTTCTTTTGACAGCCTCAGGTTCCGTTTCAACTAAAAATCATGAGCTTCTGTTGCGTTATAAATATATATGAAGGATGTACATGTAACCTATTAAAAGTTTAATCATGTACAAACAAAAATTCAATAGAATCTCCTAGCCCCTAGGAAAAATCATCGTACATTTGTCATTAGATCCAAGCATACCCCTGCTTCTGTAAGTTTAAATTTAATGTTTAATTTTCCGCGGGGATGCAAAGGTATTTTGGTTTCAATAAAGCATATATGGTGCTTGTGCAATGAAGTTTGCAAAATAGAGATCTTAGTTTCTGTAAAAGAACAAACGATACCTGTAAACAAGTATGAGCAAACAGCACCCATTTAGAAAGTGTTACTGAAAAATAAATGTACAGTATCCGAGTGTTGCCTGAAATGAAAAACAAAGAGCCAAACATTGAGTATCATGGGATCATACGTACCTTGGCAACCATTGGACAGGTATGGAATTACCACCAAGTATCAGCCCACCCCAATCCCCAAAAAAAATCCCATCCAACCCAACTCAACCCAACTAACCCAACCCAGTCCACCTGCAAAGCTTCCCCAAAATCAACCTAGGACCTAGGTCATCATTCAAGGTCTTCCTGGAGGTGGTTAAGAGGCGGAGCCGTGGAGCTTACCTTGGGAACATGTGGAAATGGATGCAATCCATTCCTTACAGCTGATACTGAGAGGATCTTTGCAAGATGAGATCGTAGATGATTCCAAAATGATCATGAATGTGCCATTTGTCGATACTAGTATAGAAAGAGTGGATGAGCTCCGTATTGTGTCGAACGAAATGGTTCGACTTATTGAGACAGCTTCAGTGCCTCAGGTAATATACTAATATAAATGGGTGGAATACTAAAGTAGCTGAGCTGACTGGATTGGCTGTGCTGCAAGCTATTTTTGCAAGGTAATTACTATTTTTGCTTTATGTTTTATTTTTTATTTTTCGCCTTTGACTTGTGTTTCCATGAATTAATATTGTGGTTTGCTTGATTGATTTTTATAATGAATTTTTTCTCATATTAAATGATATGCTTTAAATTTTGTTTGTTCTATCACGAACATTCTGATCAAACAAAATCCTTTCCCACCAAAGTTCATTCATAAGAAATTAAAAGGGGACTTACTGGACAGTTAGGTGTCTGTTATTCAAATTTTAAAGTAAACCTTTGGAATCTGATCAAAAGCTCTATTTAATGAGGAAGTCTAGGCATGCAAAATACTGATGTCCTTTGCAGTTACTAGCTTCAAATTTAGTATAGACACGCAGGCATGTTAAGTGTTAACCCAGAAGATTTGGAAACTCTTGTTGGGCTATTTGAACTCGAGGAAATCTATGTGGGAAGAAACTTATTCCAACAGGTCTTACTAGCTGTTCTGTGGCAGTGTTATGAGGTAGTTTCTCTGTTAAATTGTGACACCCCCCCCCCCCAAAACAAAAAAAAAAACAAAACAACTCTTTCGACCGGTTAAATTTTAGTAGTTTTATGTCCTAAATTAGAATTACTTAGTGGTACATTTGGGCTAACAGGAAACTTAAGACTCATAATTGTGCAGGTATGAAAATAGTAAATTTGAAAGATGAATGTGCAATTTGAGTATGATATGTTTCTAGGTGATTTTTTGGACAGAGAAACATAAAATTAGATTTGATAGTGAAATGTGTGAGGCCTAGGAATATCTATATGTTTGTATATGTTATAATGTTTAGTGTAGTGTTGGGTCCTTCAATTTTGTTAAAAAAGTTTAATTTCATTAATAAGTGTTTATGAGTTTACATTTGTATTATTAAATATATGTTTATGAGTTTATATTTATATTTTGTTAGTCGTATAAATGCTTAGCTTAGTTCCAAATAAACAAAAATCTTAACTCCGTCCTGGGTCATGTTCGTTTGAGCCATCTCACAAGTCCGATCTCCAATAGTCCAATCAAGCACCAGAGGAATCTTTTTATCTGTTGTACGCAGACCTTGAAAAGAGGATGACGAGAAGTTGAACTTACTTTCTTCGACCACAAACGCAAAGCCACATAGACTGAATTGCGTTACATTCCGATTATTGGAATAGCTACTTACCGTTACATTCAGGCTCAGTAGCCCTTTTGGGATCGAAGTCGGACAACAGCCGGTGCCAGAACAGGAACCTTCTGCAACACTATAATTCCCGTCACATATGGATAGGCAACCGGAGCTGTACCGCGTATTGCTATCTGTAAAGCCACGAACAATGGCGGAAGTGTCGCAACCAACTGCAGTGAATTTATTTTTGGTGCTTGAGACGGTGAATTTGGACAAGAAGAAGGAGGAGGGTGAGTTTTCACTCCGACTGTAACACTCACGGCCTATAGAATTCATGATTTGAATCTGACCTTGCTCGAGAAATATGTCTGCAACAGTTATATTATCCCTCCTTAAAAAGGCTATTGGAGGGTTGAAAGAATAGTCACAAGTTATTAAAAAGTCTTCGTTTAGAGATCAATCCTGTTATGCCGAATGGGTACCAGATTCTGACATTCCCACAACATTCATCGCAGCCAGGTCTGGTCATAACTGTTGTCGTTGGATTACAAGGGGATGATGTGTAACAAATTTTAAGCATTCCAATATGAAATTTAAAACTAGAACATACTTGTATGAATCATGATACTCGATCTTCGAATGACAAATTAGAGTTATGAAGAGGAGAGGGGACCTAACCTGCTATTTATAATGAAATCTAATGGACTCTCCTATTACAGGTTACAATTAGATTAAGACCTACACTTAACCACTTCAACCACATCAATTGAAATATGTATATAAGCTCATCAAAATATATCATTTAATAATATTGGGCTCATCTTATTGGACCATAAATTCAGCTCGTTCACAAACTAAAATTAACTATCAATTAATGGGAGTCCAATATAGGAAAAAATTCCAACATTCTCCCACTTGGACAATATTAAATGTAGTCATTTAGAAATAAAATAAAATAATATATATAATTTTTTTCAAAACGACTCTCGAGCTAATCAAACAAAACTCAATGTGACCATAATAAAAAATAATATAGTCTTGAGACAACATTTCAAACATGACCCCGTTCAATAAAACTATTATTTTCGAAACATGGTGTCTTTTACATCCTTTATTGACATAAGATCAATCCATGATTATAAAAAATAATAAATCTATTGACATGGATCAAGATGTGATAGTATATCAAGAAAATAACATCTCAATATGTGATCTGATAAACATGTTATTTTCATTGTCAGTCCTCCAAATAATTTTTCTTTAATAACATGCTTCAATAATAAGTTAGAGAAATTTATTAGTTTCAACAATAAGCTAGCATGTCTCCAAATTTAAAATTACAAGATCAGAGACATACTCAATTGATAAAATTAGTCATACTTAAGACATATACAAAGTCTTAAGATTTTGTATAGAATGATATGTCATAAATGTGTACACATATAACATAGCAACACTATCATACTAACAATAAGAATAATCATCAAATATTTATTATTCATCAAATAGATGTATCTCAACCATAATGAGTATCAAATATCACATATGAAATTAAATCAACATTAAAGTTCTTAACAAATAAAAAACTCTCACTAACCAAGTACATCAAAAGACCCCAAAATACTCATGTTGTCAACATATTTCTTAAAAATTACAAGTCTCAGTCCCTTGGTTAAAAGATCAACAAGCATTGATTCTATATCAATATGTCAAATCATAATGTCACATTTCTTCACAAGATCCCTAACAGAAAGATATTTAATTTTCATATATTTAAACCCACTAGAATGCTTGTTGTTCTTTGAGAAGAACACAGCTGCACTATTATTACAATAAATTGTTAGAGGTTTAGAGATAAAATCAACAATCATAAGTGCTGAAATAAATTCCTTAGTCATATGGCTTGTGTTGCAGCTCCATAACAAGCTACAAATTCAGCTTGCATAGTAGAAAAAATTGTGAGAGTTTGTTTAACACTCTTCCATGATATTGCACCTCCAGATATACATGAAAATATATCTTGAAGTGATTTTAAATCATCCTGACATCCAGCAAAATCTGAATCTGAGTAACCAATCACCTCAAGACTATCAACTCTCCTATAAACAAGCATGTAATTTTTTGTTCACTGCAAGTATCTCATAACTTTCTTAGCTGTAACCCAATGATCTAATCTTGGCTTGAAAAGATATCTGCCAAGAACACTAACTGCAAAAGGAATGTCAGGCTTAGTACAAATCTATGCATATATTAAACTGTCAACAGCACTCGCATAAGATATACTCTTCATAGATTCCTCCTCAAGATCATTCTTGAGGCATTGACTTAAACTGAATTTATCACATTTCACAACATGTACATCTCCAAACTTACAATTGTGCATATTAAATTTTTCAAGCACACAATCTATATATGTCATTTGAGAAAGTCCCAACAACCCACGACTTCTATCACGATGAATCTGAATGCCTAATACAAAAGATACTTCCCAAAGATCTTTCATATCAAATATTTTGCACAATAATTGCTTAATCTCATGAAATAAACTCAAATCATTACTTGCAAGCAAAATATTATCAACATAAAGAACAAGAAAAATAAATTTGCCCCCACTGACCTTAAGATATATGCATTGATCCATCTTGTTTTCAACAAAACTAAGAGAACTTATTATCTCATTAAATTTCAAGTACCACTTACAAGAAGCCTGCTTGAGACCATAGATAAACTTCTTCAACTTGCACACTAATTGTTTTTTTCCATTCTCCTTAAAACCCGCAAGCTGCATCATATAAACTTCTTTACTAAGCTCACCATTCAGGAAAGTTGTTTTCACATCCATCTGGGGAAGTTCTAGATCAAAATAAGCCACTAATGCCATAATGATCCTAAAAGAATCTTTAGTAGAGACAGGTGAGAAAGTTTCATTAAAATCTACACCTTCCTTCTGACTATATCCTTTTGCCCAATCTAGCTTTAAATCTTTCAATCTTACCTTTAAAGTCCGTCTTAGTTTTAAACACTCATTTGTAACCAATGGGTTTACATTCCTTAGAAAGTTCCACAAGCTTCCACATTTTATTGTGTGCCATAGAATGCATCTCATCTTTCATGGCACCTACCCACATATTAGACTGAGGACAAGTAATTGCATCTTATCTTTCATGGCACCTACACACATATCAGATTGAGGATAAGTAATTACATCATGATATGTTATAGGATCAATAATATCACCTATATCATAATTACTTTTTCCAAGATATACATAATATTCATCAGAAATAACAAGTCTCTTTAGTTTTGTAGAACTTCTCAAGAAAATTTCAGTAGTAGGCTCTAAAGGATGAGGAGCCTCTATAGGAATAGAATGTTCAATTGCAGGAACAGGAGAATCAACAACTGGAGCATGAAAATTAATAATAGGAGCAAGTATAATATTCTCTTGCACAACAGGTAAAGGAATATAAATAAATTTATTTTGCTCATACACGCTAATAGGTTGTGAGCAACCAATATCAGCAATATCGAGCTCCAGAAATTTTGCTGTTAAGGACTCAACAATTTTAGTACCACATGTAGACCAATAGAATCGGTATCCTTTAGAATGTTCTGGGTAACCTATGAAGAAACAACGAGTAATTCTAGGATCAGTCTTTTTCTCAAGAGGATTATAGATTTTGACTTCAGTAGGATAATCCCAGACTCGAAAATTGTTAAGACTTAGTTTTCTATTGGTCCATAATTCAAAAGGTGTTTTTGGTACAGATTTGCTAGGAACTCTATTAATAATGTATGATGTCGTGTTAATAGCTTCCCCCCAAAGATAATCAGGTAAATTACACCTACTCATCGTGCTCCTCATTATGTTTTCAAGGGTGCGATTACGTCTTTCAGCTACACCATTTTGCTTGGGACTACCAGACATGGTATATTAAGCAACAATCCCATAATCTTGCAAGTACTTGGCAAACAGTCTCAAATGCTGCCCAAACACGTCATGTTTTCCATAATACTCACCACCACGGTTAGACCTAAAGATTTTGATGACTTTTCCTAATTGTTTCTCTACATCAGTCTTGAAAATTTTAAACTTTTTAAGAGTATCAGATTTTTTATTAATTAAATAAATATATCCATAATGAGAAAAATCATCAATAAATGTAATAAAATATTTATTACCACACAATGTACGTGAGTAAGATCCACTGATGTCAGTGTGAATGATTTTTAAAATATTTAGACTGCGAGTTACATTTTTCTTCTTAGTTTTGGTCAATTTACCCCTAATACAGTCAACACAAGTTTCAAAGTCTCCAAAATTAAGGGGAGGAAGAATATCAGTCTTTATTAATCTTTCCATTCTTTCTCTAGAAATGTGACCCAAATATTTATATCAAAATTGTGAAGATTTTTCTCTAATGAAAAGTTTCTTAGATACAACATTCACAGTATTTGAAAGATCTTATTCATTATTGACAGCCAAACATATACTATATAAATCATCTGATAAACACAATAACTAACAATTTTGAAATTTAAAGACAATTGAGTTTTACCATTACTAAAATTAAAACAATATCCAATTTTATCAAGCAAAGAAACTGAATTTAAATTCCGCCTAAATGACGGTACATAAAAAAAATTTTCTAAAATAAGTTGAAAATTAGTGTCTAAATTCAACTTAACAGTTCCTATGAACTCAACATGGACTTCATTGTTATCTCCTACTTTAAGTTTGGCTTCCCCTTCACTTGGTCTCTGTTTGTTTGTGAATCCCTGCAAAGTCATGACAACATGAACAGAAGCTCCACTATCAATCCACCAAGAATTTAATGGGACATTAACAAAATTGGATTCAAAGCAAACAAAGCCTAATAAATTACCTTCTTTTTTATTCTTCTTGTCTAACCAAGAGTTGAATTGAGTGCACTCACTTTTCTTATGACATTTTTTCTTACAAAAGTAACACTTGACATCTTTAATGGCAGCCTTAGGACCTCCCACATTTTGACCAACACCATGCCTTTTGAAATTTCGACCATTCTTTGGAGCATTATGATTAGATTTTTTATTATTTCCCAGATATCGACATTTGAAACTAGATTTAGGCTGAGAAACAAACAAGATAGTTTCACTCTTTTTTTTTTTTTTTAAGTTTTTCTTCCTTAGAATCACACTTAGAGATAAAGTTATTTATAGTCCAGAACTCATTTTGGGTATTGTAGGCAGTTTTGATTTGGCTAAACTCAGGAGGTAAAGAATTAAAAGTGTGATGAACAATGAAATTATCAGGAATAACAATTTTGAAAGCTTTGAGTTTGGTTTGAACATGGACCATTCTAAGGTTATATTCCCTAACACCACCTACATTGTCATATTTAATACTCG